CTCCGTTACCATCGGAGTTATAAGAAAACCACTGAACCACCAGCACAATTCCCAACCTATACTTCCGCTTTTCGAATAAAAATGGGTACCTCAAATTTATCGTGAGTTGTGCATTTAAGAGCCCACGAATGTAGTTTTTCTTGTGCGCTCGATCCAGACCAAGCTCCTCAAAATGGCATTTTGCTGCCCTTCGCAGCATTCTTCATGTTTCTCAACTATGTTGTGAGTAGCTCCATGCCAAGCTTTGGTTAACTAAATGACGAGTTTCTCGGTTTCCCTGCTTTCCAAAGCAGGGGTCCAGGATTTAGAAATATGGTCATAAACCCATTAAAGTACTGTCCATCCGAAAATGAGTTATCTGAGCAGCAATTCTTCCATGATACGCTGCACTTATATTTTGTGCTGTGAAGTGTTTAAGTCTGAACGCGAACTATTTAGCTGTGAGTAAGGCGTTTACCAGACAAACTATTCAACTTTCTATGGAGATAGTTCTTTTAAGTACTTATTTTTTTTCTTCTCACAATCAGGCATTTTTGGGAAAGCTGTAGAGAAATGTTCAGAGAAGCTCAGAAAAGAATTGGAGACAGCCTTTTTTGCGCGCTGGCAGGAAAGCGCCTTCGGCAGCCTCAAAGATTAATGACTGCTTAAGTTGAACACTCATTCATCTAACGAAGTCACTCCAACGCCGCCTCCTCAGCATGCACCCTATCACTGTCGCAGTAGCCTTTTTTGCATTCACGTTCTCTGTTTTTGTAATACTGCAGTAATTGGTGAATTCATTATTCAGGCAACGCAAACATATACTTCAAACTGGCTGCTCAATTCCGCACACAGGACGAGCCAGCTTACTGCGGACCGAGTACTCTTGGTACGTTTTACTGTGTGGTTACCGATCTCATCCTTTAACCGGAAAGTATCATTTTCTAGTTTTATCGCTTACGCTTCACGGCTGCGCTCCATTTTCACATTACTAGTGTGCTCAATTACTCAAAATCCTCTCGAACAGTTCCTGATTAAATGTATTTAAGTCCATCTCTCTCTAATTTTAATTTATACTTCGACAAATTTCGCGTCCTGTGACAGGCCTCTTCAAAGCTGACCAAAATGCAGAACTCGGAATGACGAAATCTCCCCGTACTTGTTCACTTGGCGAAATGGTTTTATCGTTCGCAACAGTGAGAAACCACAGTCTCAGTCTCATCTCATGAGACTTCTCTTCAGTTTAGTTATAATAGCTAACCGGCTTCTTGTACAACCCAGAGACAGAGGCAATCATGCCCCAAGAGTGTGAGTCCCTATAAAAACCTAAATGGAACGCTATTCGAGCGTTCGCGTTCTATCCAAATGAAGTGGTTCTTGGAACGTACTATATGGTAATTTCAGTGGTAGCTATGTCAGTGCATAATCACCGTGTCGTGTACCATTTCACAGAATACAGAAAATGATAGAATGGGCTGGCTCGGGAGGGTACTGGTTCAAAATCTAATCCTGAACAAAGTTCTCGTAGGGTTAACCTTTATCGAAATCCTTCACAATGCAGCCTTTCTAGGCGTAGTGGTCAATACTAGTAGATGGAGTATTAAAGACACATTCCACGATCAAAATGGTCCCTACGATTTTCTCCTAGAATTCCCCACCAGCCTCAAGGGTAATGCAAAGGAGGCTGTCAGGACAAGGAACTCACTAGGTACGGCTTATTATGAGCCTCATTACCGTATTCATCCACGCTCACGCCCATCGACCGATGACATCTCACACGAATGTCAAGGCGATAAGGTTGCGCTATTCGTACCTGGACCCACACATTCAGCATGCAATCAGTTGACTGCCGAATGGTGATGGGTTGTTTCATTTTAATACTGTGATTCTCTGTTATTCTTTCACATTCTTCTAGTTTTCTATCTCACTATCCCAAGGATAAAAAAGAAAGAGTCTGTGCTGTTAGTCGTGTTTTTCTTAACTAATGCTAGTTTTTGAATGCATGAATGAACATTTCTGCTCACTGTAGTCAGCTGTACGCAATCGCACCGATGCACAGCTCGTCTAAGCGCCTCTTCTACGTCATTTTTCGATCTTATTGCTGTCCAGCCCGCTTTGAACGACTTTTTCGAGGTCTTTTATCTTTTTGGAAGCACCGATTCTCGCGCTTTCGTCGCCTCCATCGCCCTATCTTCACATTCGCTTTCATTTGCCGTCACAATCTGGATAACCAAAAATTGTCGTTAACTATGCCTTCAAAGGCGTTGTTAACCGTGAATACTGCTGGAGAGCGGTAACAAAGTAGTTAACATCCCGAGAGCACACGTGAACCAAAAACGATGCCTTTTTATTCGATTCTTAGGCACAGCTAATATGACCAGAGGCATATGCGACAATCACAGTTCAACTCTACCAACAGATCCTTAGTGCAGGAAGATTCCGAGCAGCGCCAGAATGAAGTCGACTGTGTGTTTATCTTGCTTGCGTGAAATCCAATCTCTAAGATTTCAAAACAGGAACTCCCGCACCTTTGAAAAGATGAGCTCGGAGTCGGATATTCTTTGTCTCTTAGCTACTCCCTCGATTTTCTCAAATGCTTCCGACGCCGTGCATTTTTTCTGCTCAGCTTCATCATGTTGCCAAAGCTTTTCTGATTCCAAGTCCTTCTTCGCTCCCAGTTCCTTTTTTCGTAGCTTAATGTTTATGTGCAAGCAACGAAGGGTGTTAGGGTTAAGATTGAGCCAAGTTCCGAATCGCAGTCAGTTACCTTGTCATGCACTGACACGGAACTGGTAGACCCAGATCCACCAGCCGGACTACCAAGAGTGGTCAGGTGGCTCATTTTTCAGCAGACTCCAATCACCTTTGGAGTACTTTCCAGTCAGACTTTTCGCTGGTCCCAGCACCAGCATACTGGCCACACCCGTTAACTTTCCACGCATGCATGGAAGAGACCAGCAACGAGACAGAACGCATGAATCGACCCATCACAACGGAAAGTGGGAGTCCATCCCTTGGATCAACCTTTGTCGCCAAACGGCTGGTCAAGTAAAACAGAACCTCAGTGAAGGGGATTCAAGGATGGCGCCTATTCATTGCAATTTGTTTTCGGCTCCTATTCTGAGAGCGACAATGAGTTCTATATGTACCTTAGCTTACATTATGTGCAACAACAAGCTGCAATAAACTTTTGAAGCATCTTTCATGAGCGCAGGTCCGGACTCAAAGTTTGTTCCCGAACTTCCCCTGCGTTACACGCATTTATAATGCATTTCTTCCTAGCCCGTCGCATTATGCTTCTCGCAATTAGATCTTATCCTGAGTGAATCACCTCTTGCATAGCTAGCTTCAAAAATTGCTCAAAACAGCATGGTTACCCGTATAATATCCTCTATATGTATAAAGCGCTAACTTTGCCTGTCTGTTTGTATGCCCATTTGTATGTCCTCTCACGTAGGCACGATCAAAAGCGTGGTTTTGGGAGCGCGGTGGTGGAGTAGATCACAGGCTGACCAGCTTTTAGAGAAGAGAGAATGTAGGGTAAGAAACGTTTTACATTGGCATCTGTTGGTATCAGGCATCATCGAACATTCTGCTGACTGGTTTCCATTACTTCTCTGATGCGCAATTAAATAATGTTTCGGGGCGGTAATCAAGCCCGTCAGAAGGATCTCGCGCATTCGACTTCCATTCAGAATCATAGTGGCGTATTGAATGCGTATGAGGCTTATGCAATAACTTGCGGTGGGGATGTTCAAGTCAGTGTTTTTTTGCACCTCCGCCCCGATCGCAATTTCCTACAATCAAACTGGAACGACATTTTCAATATGAATGCAATGACAATGGCGCTCATGAAAGAATATTTTGCTCTCGAGTGTTAACTCTAATGCGCGATTTCCAGAAATGAAACTCAAGGGAGATTTTGGGTGAAGCAGTGTCGTTTATACGGAACATGAAAATGTTTTACTGCTCTTCTCGAGTAAGAGATGAACGGTTGTGGACATGTGGTGCCCGCATGAGCGTGCGTAGCTCGGTTCTTTACATAATTTTCAAGTTATCAATTTTTACGTTATCTGGTTAACCTTATGATCGATTGCTCGCAGGAAGCAATTTGCGATGGTTAACCAAACAAAAGATTTTTCATTACAGTGATGGTTTTGAATGCCCTAGAGGTAGATCCAGGACAAGTGTGGAAAGCGCCATGGCGATTCTACCATGAATCTATGTTGGACTGCTGTGTACCGTTGGAAAGCATCAAAAAGTTGGCTATTTTTGATTTTTCTCCCTCTACTACCTACTACTCTTAAAATGGCATTTGTTCGCACCCATGGGCTGAACGATTATGACCTGAAGATGACGATCTCCAAAACAATGAAGGAACATATGCTGGTAACTTTATGACAGCCGTGGTTTTTTACCTCCTGCATTCACAGCGGAGGTTCTGCTTGTTCGAGTTTTTTGAGTTTCGGAATTATAGAAACTTTTTCTGTGCAAAATTACGTGCGGGCAGGAGAGTCTTAGAAAATTTGAGATTTATGAAAAAAAGGGAAACAGTAGATCGAACTCACAAACTTGGGTCCGACAAAGTTGTAGAAGTGTGCGTTCAATGTAACGCTCCCAAATTTCCTTCCATTTACAACGCAGTAAATAATCTAAGTTCTGTGCTTACGTATACACTAGTAGCCCCATTAATTATTCGCTTATTTGCACACAAGGTGCTTAGCAAAAATAATAGGGAACAATACAGAGCTAGACAACACAGAAAATTAGGAAAATTTCATCATCGTATGTAATCGCAACCGAACAAATTAAATGGAACTCATTACACATACCAGATGTCATATTTGCATATAAATAACATAGAAGTGGAAGGAAGTAAGAGATAGTATGTTTTTGTTGACGCCATCGGTGGCCCCAACATCATAAGCGGGTGGAAAAGTACTCAGCTATTCACTCGCACCTCTAACCGCTGCAGTTAGTCAAAGAAATAAGTCGGCAATCGCAGAAGCGATTGGAAGTGGAATGCGGTGAAGTACTCACCCCACTGACCACTGCAGATCTGGGCTGCCAGAGAAAACATTTTCTAGGCGACCAAAAATAGCCAATACAGCAGGAAACTGATAATCAAATTGTATGGCATTACATCAGAGGCGCTTTACGATTTCTTAAAAAGAACGGAAATTTTCGAGTTCGTATTCAGCTCCAGACGACCTTACAAGTCCTGCTGATCTTCAAGGTCATGGATAGTCCTGACGAAATTAGGCATATGCTTGATCCAAACTCATTTGCAGAGCGATGGCCAATTCAGAAGGGTAGGGCTCTCGAGACAATCTAGTTGGTTTTTAAGGGTTGATAGAATGATGGTCATGAAGTAGCTCACTAGCAGTGCGTTCGAATTCTCTTTTTACCATCAAAATGATATTCTTGCGAAGTATAATACGTATGATCAACCTAGCTAGAACACGTCGAGGCTACTCCTGAGAGCTTGAATATCATGCAAAAGACACGAACCAATCCATGTATGTCTAATTGATTCTTCGTTGTATAACGTCTAGAGGCCTTTGACTCATAGCAAACAGAGTGACTTCAAAACAATATGTTCCTGGTGTTCTTCTCTAATGCCTCGGCCAAAATATCACAATTTTTACTCGGCTAACGTTTCGGCCAGTCGCCTTCGTCAGAGACTTAGATGTCCAAAAGAAGACCTGAAGACTGAGCTCATATGCCTCAATGTATGCATATGACTTGACTGGTATTTCTAATAGTCGCTCTCTTGCTTCATTTTGATTTCGGGGCCTTCGTTTCGAAGCAATGTTCAAGTTCCAACCATTTATAAAAATGGTCGTCTGAACGGTCTTCTTTTGGACATCTATAGCTCTTGTCTTGGCTATGGCCAAGGAGAGTGGCCGGAACGTTAGCCGAATAGAAATTATAATATCTCGGCGAGGTTTCAGAGAAAAACACTCAAGACATCACTATCATGCCAAGATAGAGTGGGAGTCGAACATGGTTACGATATTTCCCTTCTGCCGTAACGAGTCTTCCAATGATTCATCCATATATTTGGTCGTTGCAATTCAATGAATTACTTTCCGGAACGGAATCAATCTGACGCAATTCGTATGCCTCGCTATTTGTAACCGACTTCACGCCGAAGCTCACTATGGTGCTGAAAACGAAGGTGATTGTTCCTTCCTATCACTGCTTTTCCAGATTTTTCTTCCCTGTTGTTCGAGAGAACCCCTTCAAGTCAATATTCTTATAACTGGAGTGGGGATTAGAATATCACTTCGATGTAAAGGAGATGAAAATGTAGTTGGGGAAGGGGTAATGAGGAGGGGGGGGGGACAGCCATCAAGAGGTTAGTGTATCAAGGAATGAACTTAGTGTTACGTATTAATCCTTGTTATGTTAGCGCTGTATCAGAGACGAAAAGGAGGATGAGCACCGGCCGTCTGTGTGGTTTTAGACAGGAGAATGTAGTTTTCCTCTAAGCCTTGGTAAGTAGGAACAACTAAGTGGGTAAGGTGATACCATGTGCGAAAAGAGAGAAAAAAAAAGAAAATTCGCACACAACGGTGTTTTTTTTTCCTCCTTGAGCTTAATTGAACTTGCATGTCCCTGGTGTAATACGGCATAACACGTATCGTTGAATTCAATTGAGTTGAATTCACCCCTTGATATACCATCATTTGACGGCCTATCAATGTTGTAGATATCTTTCGTTTTATACGCCTTAATTGTGCAGTATGTACTGCCATTAAAGCGTAGCGACCTAGCCGCTCTTAACTATTGTGGCCCAAGATCTATTTTTGACAGCAGGTACTGCTTTTTATCACCAGAATTTGCTATCCCGTCACGATCTGAATGGAACGTTCAGGAAGGCAGTGTCCAAACAAGGCATCTTCTGAACCTTGCATTTCAACGCCGCTTATCAGCTCTATTGATTGTCATCATTTTTTGTCATCAATCTTCTATGATCCCCCAACATCCCATCCTTTTCTGAAATGGCGAAGTTCACTGTTAACCTAAAGAGGGAACAAATCCAGTGATTATAAGTTTTTGCCACCAACCATCTTCGATTCCGTAACACCCCATACCACTCACTCATCAAAGAGTTGAGGCCCAACTGTGTATGCGAAAAGCGCAACTGTTTCAGTCTGTTTTGCCTCCCAGGGTTCCTCACTCACTTATAAGCTCCTCACTTATTACCACTTTCAGTGAAGCCGTGCTTCCAGCTTAGGCACTCGGGGGTTTTCGTCAACGTTATCAGCGCTCAGACCGCTTACAAAGTCCTGACGTCGGTCGTTGCGAAGTTGCGTTCCTGCTGTGTTCGCCAATAAATCAAGCTGCTATAACATTTACGTCGGTGTCTCACAATTCTATGTGAAGGAGTACGGCCCTTAACTTCTCTGCAAACCGATGTTTTCGAGCAAGTAAACGCTCATGCGGCTTTTTTTTNTTTTTTTTACCACCAGCATGTTAAGAAATGTAATGCCTCGCGCACCCATGACAACATTCATATCAGTAACAACTTAAGAAGTACGGATTTTGGGTTTGGAAGGCTTTGAAGAAGCTAGGACAGCCTAAGAAATTCTCATAGCCCTCTCATGCATGCGAACAGTATGGCTGTACAATATGGAAATGTCTCCACTATTTTGAAGTGTCGGGTGTAGTGTGAGTCTTCAGAAGCGTAACGATGTAGGCAACTTACTTTCAAGTGTTTTTCTTGCATAAAAATACTGGACTGGCTTCAAGCTCCTGAGCTGTATCACCGAGAATTCGCCACTTCATTTGGCTTACCTTTTGGCGTTTTTGCCTCCATGGGAGCCTGCAGCCATTTAGGGAACCATTCGATCAAGTATTCCAACCTATAGAGAGAGTTTAAAAGAGTTGTAAACTACTATTACGAGTCCGTAATTGAATCTAAAGGTTAAATCTCGGTTGCACAGTTCAGAGACTCTAAGTCGCGACTGAAAATAAAATGGGGTGATTCATTGAGAGTCGGGCTTGAGCATCACTTTACTGTATTCTCAAATGCCTTATGTGAACTATAAAAATTTAGATTTTCTGTCTGGTTTGAGACAAGATTTGTTGGAATCCGTTCGTGGAGAGAAGCAAGTTGTAGTCGCAAGTTATGACCGCTCTGTTTTACAGCAAACAGGAACAGGTGAAGTTCAGTTCATTCCCTCATGCCTTTGCTAGTATTCAGTAGCAGGGAACGTTGTAGAGGGAAAGGAATAGTCATGATTCGTTATAGGTCGTTACAAAACGAACCTATCGAATTCAGCTCATCGAACTCTTCGAGAACTGACCTTCTTTGTACTATGGGAGTTCTTTTTTTTTCTGAAAAGATGATTTCGAGGCATAGTTTCAAGTCTAGCAGATTAATCCCACCATTCAGTCTACCAACCCACATTCTTGTCCAAGGTTTTTACTAAAGCCTCGTGTATGTATGTAACGGGATTAAGGTGTTTGTACTGAAATGAGCTTTTGTTGTATAATGAAATGTGTTCGATAAGCTGTACATCTATTGCCTTACTGGTCACTACAGCTTTTCGTTCCTGTGGAGGGGACGTTCACCGTCCATGGACACTGCAAAATGGCCAATTAAACTTGCTCAAGCCTTCAAAAATACTAAATACCTCTTTTTGAGGTCACTTCTCTCCACTTGCGGCGTTCCACACGAAGAGCGATCGTGTTCTGATCATGGATGTGGCGAGGTTCAAGTATCCGCCTCACTGGGTGGAGCTCAAGCAGCTTCAGAAAGCTATGTGTTCTATAGACACGGCCACAGGGAAACCAAGAGGTATATTGGCGCCTTTATTATTTTTGTGCAAGAAAGAACTTTCTTTTTGTTAACCCCTGTAGGCGAAAAATGCGTAAGGGCTCATCATTGATATCTTCTCTAGGCGATGACCCACCTGAAAATTAAAAGTACGCTATTTCTCCAACTGTAAAGTGATTTGTAGTAGAAGAAAATTTGCGTTGAGGAATTCAACAGTTTGGTATTGGGAACGACTATATAAGAAGACCCTAAAGCTACAGCAGTGCGATTTTTTTTGTAGCTCAATCGGGCATCGAATGAGAATCTCAAGGAGAATCTGTGAACAGATGAGCCCTGGGAAATTAATATAATCACTCTTCTATATGCGCGATTAAACCAGTTTCCCTTTTTCCGCCACCAGAACGTTGTGTTATGCTATCTAATACTGCCTTCTGTACTCCACTGCAAGAGCAATCCATCTGAGAACCGGCCGGCTACGGAAGATATGCACATACAATTTCGAGCTTAGGAGTAAAAGTTGGGTGAGCAGTGAGTAATATCCATCGTCACTAGCCTCCCTTTTTTCACACAAACGTTGTAGCTTATCCTCATCCAGCATAGAGCATTCTAACCAAAGTTCCTTACCTGCTCACTGTTTCCTCTTCTTCAGTATTTCTAAAACCATAGAGAACCAATGACTGCAGGGACCAGTCGAAGTACGTACCTTGTCTATTGCTGCAAAGCTTTGATTTTGACTGGCCCAGTGTTTTCGGTGCTTCGCTAGTCTGGAGACATTTTGTTTTAGGGAGAAGTCATGGATTTTTTTGGTGACTGGCTGTCCCGATGAACAACCTTTTGAAAGCTTTATTAACTGACTGGTTTAAGCAAATCTGCAAACATTGCTTACCAAATTTAACCCCAGAACCAAACTAGGTTCCAGATGTTCTCCCCGTTTTGGTACAGACAGGAGTTTGTTAATCGCTTACCCCATTCAGGCTACATAAAGCTGCAGCTACGCTCTAAAACACGACCACTAGTGGCGTTCTCATTAAAAGCAAGCCTTGGCTGTGGTAGCGAAGCTGATGTGAGTTGCTCATTTGATGAATGCATTTGTCTTGTGTTCAGTTTAAGGTACACTTAATTCTCGATTGCTAAGTGAGCAGGAATATTCTCTTTATGGATTGACGAGGGGTGCGCGGAATAACATTCGGTCGTTAATTGCAGTTTGCCTCGGCTGTACTTGCCTGGAAGGAATTCTTGTTGTGTGATGTGATGCCTGTTGACGACGAAGAATTGCAGGTGAGTACATCATAGTACTACATCATAGTACTTCTAGTATTTCTTGGTTTTCCCAGCGTGATATGGTTGCTTTCATCTTTCTATTTCCTCCAAAATTTCCCTCCATCCCTTATTTCTCTTCTCCTTCTTTTCCCCAACATTTCATGCTGCATCATTTATTTATTTATTTATCATCGCAGAATTTGCTGTTTTTGTTAGTCGCAACCATTTCCTTCTACATATCTCTACCAATTCTCCGGTCTCTTGATGGCTGATCCCTTTGAGCTTCCTTCTCATTGCCTCTCATACAGTGCGCTTCATAATTATAAGGTCACCCTCGATTTTCGCGATTCTGGGGAAAGCAGCCGGAATGGAATTTTTTTGCAAACACTGGAAGGTTCCTCATCACAATTTACCTCCGAACTCAAACCTCAAATTTTGGTTGCAATATCCTTCACCTCAAATTTTTTATGAATTTTTAAAGATAGTGTCGGCTTTCGCACCGTTTCATAATTATAAGGTCACCCTGAGAAAGTAAATGATTTATTAATGTTAATGACATTTGTACAACAGTTAATAATCTATAGCTCCTCCTTGTTTAAGAGCAACATCAAAGAGTCTGCGTGGCATACTAGAAACTAGGTTTCGAAGATGTTCCTCATCGATTGCTCTCCATGCTTCGATAACTGCCCGTTTCAGCTCTTCCTTGCCCTGGAACTGACGGTTATTGGCATAAACCTGTCTGACTATTATCCTCCAGATATGTTCCATCGGATTGAAATCGGCACTGCAGGCTGGCCATGGCAGAACACTTATTTATTGGCATTGCAGCCATTCATCCGCTGCACGGCTCACATGAATGGAGGCATTGTCTTATTGAAAGACATAGTTGAGGTGACGGCGATGGCATAGAAGGGGTACTAGATGATGCTCCAAGACGTTCTGGTAATCTTTGCAATCCATACTGCAGCTCACAACAGGTAGACCAACACGACATCATTGCAGAATGCATCCCACACCATAGACTTCTTCCACCGAATTTGCGACAGCTGAAGTAGACTGGTTCCTTCCTCAAGTCGCGTCAGTACCGCTTCCGTCCGTCAGGACCGTCTAGGTTGAATTCCTTTTCATCCGAAAAGACGACCCGAATAGGAATTTTTCAGCTCTATGGTGAGATTTTGGTGCAGATCTACCTTTGCCCAATCTCTCCCTAGGTCCATCTTTGCAAATCCGAATCGAGCCTCTCTGTGACGATCGGTGATTCGTGGCACCTTCTCATTGCTTGCCTGGTGATGTTCTCGCGTCTTCTCACTGCTCTCCAGACTGTAGTTTTCGACACAGAGAGGATTAATTCCGATCGGATCTATTATAGTTCAAGGAGGACACACTGTTGAAAACAGTCCTCAGAATCTTCCGCTAAACACGGGCAGTAATCTTTCATGGGTGTCCACAGTCGGTATTATATCTAGGGACATCAGGGCTCTCCAGAAATCTTTGAATAGGTCAAGGGGAACTTCCTACTTGCCTGGAGATGGCTCGAGTACTGAGCCCACCCTCATGATGAGCCTTCTCATCAGAGGAAAGCAGATGACCACGAGCCATGTTGACAGCCAGGTTCAGAAATGCATTAGCTACACATGCTTACCTTTGTAAGCATCTTTAAACACGAAATTTCCTCTCTTTCGTTAATAATTGTTCACTTTCTCATGGTGACCTTATAATTATGAAACCGTGCAAAAACCGACAAACTCTTCTAAAAAGGTTCAGAAAAAGGCAGCTGCGGCTAAAAAACGGATACCTAGGTAATTCGTGCTGGGGAATCCGTTTATGTTAATGCTTCATGTTCATGTTAATGCTAGAAAAAGTCCTTAATGATTGCTTTTCTTGAAAGTGCAAAATTTGAGGGTGACCTTATAATTATGAAACGCACTGTATAGGGTGAAGGTGTGCGCGCAGCATGTGTCCATACCCTCGCAGGTGTTACTTTCTTCCATGTCCATCTTGAATTCTACTGACACGATTTGGTCGTCTCCTACCGCGGGACCGTATCAATCCGTATCCACATTTTTGAAGAGCGGAGTTGCTTTTCAAGACTTTTGCATACGGATCAGCACTCGTTGACTTAGTGCAATGTCAACCTCACCACTGCTCTTTATAAGTTTCCTTTAAGCATCCTGGGGCACCTTGGGTCACAGAGTGAAGCAATGGGCTCTCTGTTTTATCGTGGCCGCGTTTGCTCGAGCATTCGTAGTCTGATAAGCACTACCGTCAGCTTCTACCATCAGTCCTCAGTAGTCCAGCCCCAACCGTGACTTCAAATGTTTTTCTCAAGTCTCAAGTTGTGCGTAGGTCATTCTTGGACATATCGTACATTTTCCTAATCAGAAAAATCGGATGTATCGTTTTCCTGAACATCCTCTGAAGGGCAAGGCTCACAATCAGCCAAAAGCCTCGATCGTAGAAAGCTACTAGGTAGCAGGGTCTGCGCTTTTCTCGATACATCTCCATAACTTATCTAGCAGTGAAGATACCATCCCTTATATGCCTTGACATAAGGCTAAAGTGTTTCTGTAAGATTGGGAACAGTTCCCTCAATCTTGAATCATACAGTTTTATCGTGTGAGTGGTCAACCTGGTTCCCCGGTAGTTTGAACATTTCATCGCGTCCCAGTTCTGCTTGAAGATGGGAAGGTGGTACTGCTTGTCCAGGCACATACAACTCTTCTTTTAGTGGCCTTAGTGTAGAGGAATCGGAAGCCCCTCATTCCGTGCTTTTTGAGTTGAGAGGGTCACAGTTGCCAGCTGCCATCCGGACCAGTTGCGTCCCATTTTTCATCCTCCGTGTTACTTAGCGGACTGCATTGTCTGTCCTTAGAAAATAGACTCTGCCGTTGACTATGGGCAACGAATGTTGTGGAGTGGCTTTTAGTTTGCTGATCCTTTCCTCATGCGCTCTGCCTTACTTGGCTCCCTCAGGCTTACGTCTGAAGTCAAGCGTTGGATGTTTTTTTAATGCTTTCATTATCCGAATGTCATGACTAGCTCGGTGCCGGACAATCGCTAACTTGGAAATGGACATCTCCGCTTTGCGACTATCGCTCTTTTCCTGTTTGCATTGGCAGGTAGCACGTAAGCGGGCGGGCGTAAGTCGGTGTTGTCGTTCCTGATTCCACAAAACCCAGTTTTAACCCAAACAATACACTACAGCTTAGGCTACAAAATAATAGTAGAGCTGCGATTGTGTGTGTATAATTTTCTGAACGCACACGCCGCTTCAAGATCTTTCGTAAAGCATCAAAAGAGAAAGAATTCGAGAAAAGAAGGAAGAGATCTCAGTAACGTAACTGGTTAGACTACTCTGGAATTCATGGTCCCATTATTTCTAACCCCAAACAACAGCTCATATTAAAAGTTAATTTTTACATTCACAATTTTCAGTTGTGCTGCCGTAAATTCGCTCAGTGTTTTTCGTCGCACGCCTTGTGTTGTGATCAGAAGGATGTCAAGGAAGACAAGGTACATCGTACGCGCTTCTCAGATGAGAATGTGTAGTATCACATTATTGTTGTTGAATAATTTATGGAGGCACTGTTGCCCTCCTTACTTAAGGGAATATCTTAAAGCTACCTAGGTAAACTTCGGATGTCAAGCGGCTTTGTCAGAAGCATGCCGCACCGTATGTGCGGAAGTGCGACGAACAAAGATGGCTAACGTGTTTTTAAGCAGTGCTGTGGCAGCACTCATGCTGGCTTGGCCATTCGAGGTAAAACTTTGGAAATATCGGAAGAAGAGATACTATTTTTAGACGCACTCCTGCGACTCATTCTCACAAACCTTGAGTTAAAAAATAAACACTCAACTATTGTACAGCTATTATTCACTGGGAAAGGAATCGTCGGGCTAAAAATGGCAGTAACTCAAAAAGTCGTAGGACATGATATGCTGTTTTTGTATCCATATCGCTCAATATGTTTTCGAAATTGTTTAGGATGGCTATTCAGAACGGAGCGATCGATTAGCAAGGCTAGCGAAGGAGGAAGTCAGCAAATTCTCACCAGACACGAGGAATGAGATCTGTGAGTGATCGATAGGAAAGCAGTTTTTGTACTCTCTCTTTATTTTTATTAGCATCCACCCATGGTTCTAGGCTGCAAATTTGAATATCCTACGTGGTTTCAGCTCTATTAACCACCCAGCTCTCCACACTTATCGAGTGCTCAAAACCACCACCAAAGTTGTCGATCACAAATGAATCGAAACAGTCGAAATGCTCTTCACATCAGTCGGGTTGCCGCTGCAAGTTTGACATCAAGTTATAGTAACTAATACCACCTACTCGGAGGTCTTCATATTCGAAAGATTGTTTCTTCGGTAGAGTTGTGAATCTCGATCTGTGGCGTCGTATGCCATCGACTCATAATTATATTGTAGAAAAATACTGATGAATTAATCTTTGCGTAAAGTGGACATGTTCACTTCGTTTTGAAAGAACTCTTATTTATGGACCTCTCTCTCACGTTTTGGTCATTTTCATTTTTTACGTTGCAAAACCCTTACGATGGACACCACAATCTATCGAAACTATTCTCCAGTGGTGGGTATTTTAGAAACGAGAGGATAATTATATTGAATTATTAATATTTAGCGACCGTGTCGTTTGACTTGAAAATTAAGTTTTTCCTGTCGAAATTTTAACTTTCAGAATTGTTCAACGTTGTTGTCATTGCCTGTTGCCTCACCTTTCCATACTTCATTGTGCACTTCCAAAAACTTTGCTTTTGGTTACCATTTCTAATTAATTGTACGTTTCTGATTTGATTTTTTTCTGTTTTCAAATCGCATTATTCACTTGAACTGTCATCTCACTTACAGCATCCGCCCAAGTAAAGTATCAGTGTTTTATGATTGTGAACCATAAATTGAAAGGAGATGTAATAGATGACAAAAATGTCTTCGTCGTCTATTTCATATCCCAAAATGATGGATGTAAAAAGTTTTTTTTTTGGCTTGATATTTTGTTAATTGCGGCTATTTCACGTTTTGTGTATAACTCGCCAACTTTGTGGAAAAAATCTGTTCTAGTCTTTAGGAAGGCGCCAAAGGTGTTCCACAGAACCTGTCGCAAAACACTGTGGTGTAGTGAAACTCAACCAATCAATCGAAAAATGCCTTTAAGCTGACCTACTCTTTCTCTTGTTTCAAACTTTCTTAAGAATGCTGGGTACTAGGAATACCCGTCCTAAGGAACCAGACCATAACTTTCGTTATTTACCGAACGCGTTGGGGAGAGTGAAAACAGTTCAATCGGCAAAAGACCCATGAAGCCTGAGTGTTGAACCAGGATTGACGAGGCTTCCCTTACAAAATGTTGACCCAATTGACGCCACAAATGACTATCATGTGGTAGAAAGGCTACTAGATTTTACGAAGAATAAACCAGCACTTGATGGAGTAAGATCTGAAAGGGCTTCGCTTCTTATAGAAACGATCAAGAAGAGATTATGAGCAGCAGAAGGAGATAAATCGCGGTGAAAGTTTTCATCCTCTGAACTCCCCAGTGGAACACCCACGCCTAAGGTAGGAAAATAATATTGCTCAAAAGAAGCGAAAACTTCGTGCATTAGAAATTGCCAGTCATTTTGCTCAAAAATTTTCGTACTGCTGAATGCCCTCGGTGTGGCCAAAGTCCTAATACCAAAGTAATCTCCAATCTTTGGCCCGATCAAGGCCCAGGCGTTCCAACAAGGACATTTTTTCCATTATCTTTTTTGAGCCACAAAAAATGATGAAAACACGGTCGTTGATCTGAGGGTTGTGCGATCTAGTGGAAAATCTTTACTTTAATTCTTGACAACCTGAGAAAGAAGCCTTCATCTATACGTCAAAAGATTGTTTCATAATAGCACTACCACATTATCGGCCCCACATTTATGGTTCTTGAAATCTTCCTCAGCAAATGCTAAAATCTCTATCTGCTGATTGAAGCGATGCGAGCCTCCCTAACAGCTCTTTTGTTCGAAACGAAGTGCTTGTGATTGAACGCTGCATTTTCATGGAAGTTTGGTCCAGCCATTAAGCTTTCGCCACAGGCATTGGACATGATTCATAGTGCTGTCGGCAGATATGAGTCCGTCTCTGGGGAAAGATCGGAGAGGGATCGCAGAGGAACGCCATTGCATACCGAGAGGAGCAAATGGAGCACGATTCGGAGAATATATTAGCTTGAGATGAAAAATATCGACGCTACAGCGAAGTGGTAAGTAGTCTTTTTCAGGTACATCTAATTTGTCTATGTGAAATAGGAGCGCATGGATACTGATGGTGAGTCATAGAGAGGCGGTACTCAAATCTATGTCATGCTTGTATTTACCACAGCTAGTAAAAAAGATAGCTGAAGAAAAGTTATTCAGTGCAATGAGCAAGTGGAGTGTACGAAAAATTCAAACGTGAGCTTTGTCTCCATATAATATTCGATCACTTGGCCACAGTTCGACATTAAGGATAAAAAGGATAAAGTTTTCAGCGTTAATCAATCCCGTCTGAGGGATACGCCCCCGCACTCGACTTCCATTCAGAATCGTAGTGGCGTAATGAGTGCGTATGTGGCCTATACAATGACTTGCGGTGGCCAACCGATGTACAAGTCAGTGCTTTTATCCTCCCAGACTAGTCTGGTACCAATTCACCGACCCTGGAGGGAAGGAAGGCTTGGTTGGCCTGGGCGGGCATCGATCTGGGATGAGAACCCTTCACCGTGCATGTGATATAGTGCTCCACTTGCCGCTACACCGCCCTACCACCAGTTCGACATTGTAAAGGAATAATTCTGTGAAAGTTTGCGAACTGCAGTGATTTGTCAAAATGTTATATAAGTTCATGTATGTAGGTAGAGCCGTCATTTCCCTGATACGAAATTTGTTTTACTTACAAAGATCCTTTTCCGACACACTTTCTAATGAACCATGCCTATTTCAAAATTGAAATTTGAAATTTATTACATGCCCTTACGCAACATGTGAAAGAACAACAAAAACAAAAATTCAACTCAATCAACTCAGTTTTGAAATAGGGATGATTTATCAGAAAGTGTGTCGGAAAAGGATGTTTGTGAGTGAAACAACAAGGAATAAACGCATCCACACAAATAACCTAAACTGTACGGCGCCAACAATTACTGGTTGCTTTCAGCGATAACCACTAGGCATGTTCAATATATGGTTGTTGTTCAGAAGCTCTTCGAATTATTTGAGGTCGAATTGCGTACAAATTTCTTGAAGAACAAATCCATTTTCTCAGACAGCATGACCTCACTTTTGCTCAATAATGGTTCGCCATCCTCCTGGACTGAAAGCTTCATTATCTCAGTTTCCGAGACATTGCAGAGTTGAAATTAAGAAATGGTGCCATGTGCACTTTGCAGTTGTCCAGCGAATAAACGATTTTACCGATTTCCCTACCCTGCAAAGATCTGATTGAATGATAGTTTGACGATGCTACATCTGAACCATATCGAGATGCTGTTAGACGTGCCATCCCAACTTCAGTAATTAATAAAGAGCGGTTACAGATACGCCTAATCTGTCGTTGTCCGCACCTTTAGGATTGGCTAGTAAGAACTTCCCCCTTGCTGTTTCTGTCTCATTGCTGCCTTTGAATTGTCCAACTGAGTACAGCATCATTAAAAAGTGATCCTTCGGTCGTGCGGTAACAGCTCATAATTTGTAGTTCCCCTGGAATCCTGCAAGCAACAGTGTATAACCTCTGGCGCATGGATAATGGTTCCTGGATTGGTTAGTGGCGGCTCACTGGAGTCCCCTAACGATCGCTCCCGCTCTACGTTGCCGTGCACAGTCCATTTCTCATCTCCTGTTACCATACGTTTGAGGAAGGCTGATTTTCGTTACGCTTCAGCGATGAGCCACAGACGGAAACGCTGTTGTGCAGGTTACACTTGCACAATTCGTGAGGTACCCAAATAATGAGAAGGCCAACTGAACCAGGTTCCATCAAATGGTCGTGAAAAATCGAATTTGACATATTAAGCCTTTCTGCAATTTCACTTGTGGTCGGGCAAATTATTTTCGACTAGCACTTTGTTTTGCTGTTATCAACTAGAGATAATCTCTTCTATCGTTGCCGATATTTAAGAGCGATTCACCCTTCAAATTTTGCGAACCATGCCGCACTTTACGTTCTGATACACGATTGTCTCTGTAGTTATCGCATATTTTTTCCGCAGTTTGAGCTGCAGACTTGCTTTTTCTGTAAAAGGAGTGTGTAGAAAATGCGCTCGACGGCTGCTTTTATGCACACCGGATCTGAACAAACGGTACTCAGGGAGTATTAATCTGGTTTGGATGGAATTTTGAGAAATGTTCACCTCTCGAAATCGGCTGTTCCAAACAACCTAATATTTTAAATATCATGCCACCCTATCGTGGTTTACATAGTGGCATGTTGTGTAATATATGGGGTGCTAGTGCATGCTACATATTAGTAATGAAGTATTTACATATGCCATCAATGTAGTTGGAATTTGGAGTAGAAAGTTATACAGCAATAGTGACGGGAGTGAAACGATCAATGCGCAGCACAAAATCGCAAATTCGGAAGTGAACCAGTGTGAATCGTCATCTCTATTTCTGATTTGAGGCATTAAGTAGGGCATTGGACACAATATCCTTTCATGAATGATTGCCCTACATCTCAAGTGATTATGAAACCTTCATCCTTGAGAAAGCCAGTAAAAAGCTCGAAAACCAGACTATGAGACCTGTTGGAAGAGTTGCAAACAACGGCAAGGGCGCAAGAAAAGAAGCTAGCAACCTTATTGAGGAAAGGACTTGGATGTACTGTGAATGTATTAACTGTCATTCTTGACCATTTTGCGGCAACCCTTTCGCGACTGATGCTGTCAACCTTTTATGGAAAGTTGTTTCTTCTACTCTTCTACTTTCTTCTCACTCCATTACCATTGAAATGTTCGCGGTGAAACCCTTGGGATGCTCAACCAGTCAATACATCTATTGAATGAGCACAATTCCTCCTCCAGATCGACCTTCACAATGATGCACATAGGACGATGATGCACACAGGAAACCACTATGAAATACTCAGACGAATGGGAAGCACAGCGCTTTCGGAAGAGGTCATGTTTCTTACAGATTTCAGCGTGTTGAAGGGACTGTGATGTGGCGCTGCCGGGGGAAGGGCGGTGATTACAATAAGTTCATAAAGATGGATTATGATGTGTGATGGGATGAAAGGGACCGGTGGTCCATGACTTAGAAAGGAAACTAAGACACCCGGATGAAAATTC